AACAGCTGCAGCGATATGTATTCCCTTTAAACCTTCAAATGGCAAACTTTCTTCTGCAAGTTCCCAGAGAAGAATGCCAAAACTATCATCTTTTGTAAGCATACTACTGAGATAAAGAATGCCGTATCATAAAAAAATTATAATTACCTATAAATTTCACATTTGACGTCATATTTATATTTGGAATCTTGTAACTTTTCAGGAGCAGTATATCGAAGTTGTTCTGTGTCTCCGCTATGCCTTCCAGTATTTTCATTGAATCCTCGAGAGAGACCAAAATTTGCAATCTTTGCTTGTTCATGCTCATTTACAAAAATATTCTCGCTTCTGACATCACGATGCAAAATCTCACTATTATGAAGAAAACTAAGACCACGAGTAATATCAAGAGCAAATTCCAATCTTTTATTCCATTTAAGTGGCCCGTAGGTTTTGTAATAACTTTGTAAAGAGCCAAATTCTGCCCACTCAGTGACTAAGTAACGTCTATTCGCATATTCGATGAGACCATAAAATTTGATTATGTGACTCGAATCCTCGAGCATTTTAAGAATGGAAATTTGTCTCTGCAAATCTTGCTTAATTACTTCATCATCTAGGTTTTTCGCAGGAATTTCCTCAAATGAAACATCAGCGTAGTCTTTTTTGCGCCGTCTTTTATGTATACGGTGATCCCGATTTGAACCCAGTTGATTGCTAAAGCTATTTATGTCAAGCATGCATCCATTGATAACTTTGTCAATTATTTGGAAACTATTATTTTTATGATAAAGTCTATTAAGTGCTGAGATCTTTTCAAAAACACCAGAAACTTCTCCAGATAAGTTAGTGATACCTCCGTGGATGCTTTCAAGATACTAATAAATATAATTGATTATAATTCTATAGTAACTTCAAAGTATTAGAAACTTAAAATTACCTTTTTCATTATTTTCAGATCTTTATCGATTTCTGACTGCTGCAATTTTACACTAACTGTTATGGAAAAATTTAAAGAACGCACATATCCATCGAATTCTGTTATTAGGCTTGTCAACTCCTCTTTAACTGTATTTGCCTGAAAGAATCCTATTGTAAACTTTCGAAAGCCCGTTAGTTGTGAGATTTGCTGGATAAAGCGCTTGATTTTCTCAATAGAACTCTTAAATTTACAAAGTAACGTGTAGTTTTGCTCTTTGCTGAAAAATTCTGTATCCTCTTTTCTTCTTATCGATAAGCTCTTTATGGCTGCTTCTGCAGCAAAGCATCTGTCAAGCAGGATACCACACATATACTTGTTATGTTCCGCAGTTTCGTAAAGCTCAATAATTTCCTGAATGAGTTTGAGCACATCTGAAATTAACGGTGCAAATGACGTAAATTTTAATAAGGAAGAGCTAACAGAAGTAACTGAATTTATTGCATTAATCGTGTTAGCAGAAATATCGACCGCATTATTAATAAGATTTATTTGTGATGACATTTTTCAAGTCTTTCACAATATTTATATAGTTTGATCGAATTTTTTACAGTTACCGTTACTATTTGAAATATATGAAACTCCAATAGTAAATAGTTTATCATTATGTTACGATCTTTTATAGAGGATCAATTTTACCGACCCATTTCAAATTTCCTTATTTGGAAGGATGCTAAACCGAAGCAATTAAAATTAGGGTTGGGGTTGTTTAGAGGTTAGAGA